CCAAAAATCAAATCATGACAGGAGTCCTAATCAATATCGTGTCACAACTACCTTTAATCATGTATTTAAGTTCTTTTCCATTTTATCTTTTTGAAATTCGAAAGTAGGACAATTAAATCCTATAATTTTTTGCAAGAAGATCTTTAAAGGAAGTAAGAGTTTTGGAAATGGACAAGGACAGCTCAAAAGCTTGTGCCCCAAATAGTCTCATCAAGGACTTCCCCTTTCTTAAGATAGAAGCCTCTATACTCAAAGTCGGATAATATTTGGGCACGTTACCTTCTGAACAATGTGCTGACTTACTTGCTTTAAGCTACTATTTGCATAAATGCAACGAACATTTTTTGTTAGAAATATACTACTCGTACACGTAAGTGCCACATTTAGCTTCGACATAGTTTCAAGTCCTTAACTTTCTCATGGTTATAGAATTTGGAATAAATCATTTACATAATATCGATAGTGTTTGAGAAATATGTTATTTGATCTAAATAACTCTTAGAAGCCAAAAGTTGAGTATTAGTGATATATTGGATTTATCGGATTTATTTTAGGCTAGTTTTGAGGTATAAAGAGTGGATTTCATGAGATATAATGTCGGAAATAGATCGATTGATATCACCCTTCAATTGGAATTAGCAAAAGCAATGTCTCCTTGCATGGTATGAATTCCAAACATTCACGATCTGGATGTGAATGAGTCGAACTACTTATCCTTTGGTCTACCAGTTGAATTCCAAACATTCTTGTTATTGCTTTAACCCATATTCTCCAAAAAAGTGGATCGTGCTCTAATAGCTCCCGATAAATTAAATACATCCATTAAAATACCAACACTTTTTATTCCACAACAAGGAAAGCACTTTTTCACTCTTTCATATACTAAGGGATTTCACTTGGGAAAGAAAATGTTTCATACTAATGGATTTGATTCCATAGTCATGGGTTCCAATGTCCGAGATCTCATAGCACTTACCAATAAGACCCTATCGATTAGTATTATGCCGAAGAAATCAATTACATACACCAATACAATTAGATCGGTTCTTCATAGACAAATTTAGGATTTGCGATTCCAAATAAGATCGATTCAAGATCATTTTATACAACCCTTCCTATGTGAGCCGGATGATTTTCAAGATTTGTTGCACATGCCACACGTAATTGAGGGTGAGTATCTTTCGAAGTCCCTTTTAGCAAGATCTTCCACTGACCTTCCACAGAGGCAGTGGAAACATTCTCCATTTATAGCTTTATCACAGCTATCAAACTTGTCATGTGAAGTGAACAATGAGTTGCCTTTACAAGTTTGTCGAGTAGTATGAGTATCAATTCACCAGCCTTTGATGTGATATGCTATATTTACCTCGAAAAAGACACCAACTAAATCATTAATAATACTCTGGTCGTTGGAGTTTGGTCCATTCTTATGTCTTTTAAACTATACTTATATGCTCATTCTTCAGCTCAAAATTATAGATAAAGCGTGGAAGGAGACGAATGAATAGTTCGAACACTTGACCTCGTGCTTAAAGTGTAACAAAAATCAGCGAAGGAATAGGCGACGAAAAGAATTCGAAAATCAACGTCCAACGAGTGTCGAACATCCGACCTCGCGCGTGTGGAAATTCAAAGAAAAAACAAACGATTTTCACGCTCGGTCGGATTCGAACTCTCGCCTAGGAGCGACTGAACAAGGTTGGGTGTGTAGATAGTCGCGCGTGGTTGCACGCACAAGACCACTAGTGCACGTGGGTAAGTTGTTTTACCCACGTTGACCTCGTTTTGTATATTTTTCTATTCAATTTTGATGTTTTTTTTTTAATTTTTATTTATTTTTTATTTTTTAAGATCCGCTTGAGAAATTTTTGAAAATTTGGAGCATCGGACAAGTTAGCCCCATAAACCGTCAAGATACTCTTAAGTACCTAGTTTACCACCACGATAATTAGGAAAATCCAAGATAACTGACACTATGCCTTGTAAACAATATCACTAGATCTAAGACCAATTTCTATTCCCTCCAGTACAACCTAATAATGTCGATCTTGACTTAGTTTGGTTAGATAAGATAGTGGATCGAAGTTGTTTTTAGGCTAGTGCCCTTATTGTGTGTGAAATAGTTAAAGGGTCTCTAAACATGGCATTAGTTTCATAAACCTATTAGAAGTGGGACGAGGGACCACATAGGTAAACTATCACGGCCAAATTTTTTTAGTTTTCAAATACCAAATCGTGACTTTGAATAAAATAAAAGATAAAAATTTGATAAATTTAAATAAGAAAAAACATTAAAAAAAAAAAAAAAAAACTAAAATTAAATCCAATTATAAGATGAGGTTGTTCAAAATGTTACAAATAGGGAAATGAGTTTGAAATACAATTATAAAATAAGATACAAAAGATTCTAAAATGTAAAAAAATAGACTGACGCTCCGTGACTGCATAGCTCTCTAACATTCCTCCGCCTCAACCTGTAGCCTACATACACTTAAAAAAGAAAAGGGGAAAAAGAGTGACTATAAAAGTATATCAGTAAGCAATCTACTTATAAGCTTTCATCGTATTCATGACCTAACAGGTGCCCACCTACTTTTGGCTTAAGGTGTAATGCTCTTGTTGTGCACACCTATGCAGTGGTAACCCGTACCCGAAGATGGGGCGCTACCTCCATAGGTATCCACATGATCAAGACCCTCCCATAGGACAGATCCCCCATGTAGGATAACCACTAACTGCCTCACATGATCAACGCTCTACCACAAGACAGATCCACCCTGCAAGGTAATCCTCGCATGATCAACACCCTACCACAAGAAAGATCATCGTGCAAGGTAGTCTATCAAACTACTGAGTCACATATTTCTAACGAGTCTCCCACAGGATATTATAGGCTAGTTAAGTAATTATTTTCCTTGATTAAACTTGATATTTTTTTAATTTATGGATATTTTTTTATTAGTTTAGTCTTTACAAAAATAAAAAGATACATTATGATTTGCTTGTTCCGGAAAATATCTTATCCCCTAGACCAATAATTTTGGGCATAGATAAGGGGTGGAGTGGTACCCACATGTATGCAAAAGGAACAGCATATAATATCAATCAAACGTGTAAATGTTTCCATTGAAATCATCAAACAAACCTAATGGATTTTCTCTTTGTTTTGCTGCTCCTCCTTCTTGTTTTCCTTTTCCTGCAACAATTCATTACCCGCCGGCGAAATCTCCCGCCGAGCCCACCGTCTTTCCCGATCATCGGCCATCTCCACCTCCTTCAACGCCCAATCCACCGGAACTTCCACAACATCGCCGCCAAATACGGACCCATTTTCACTCTCCGATTCGGATCTCGCCTTGCCCTCATAGTCTCTTCACTCCAACTAGCCGAAGAATGCTTCACCAAAAACGATGTCGTTTTCGCCAACCGTCCGCGTTTACTCATCGGAAAATACCTCGGCTACAACTTCACCACCATCTCCACCACACCTTTCGGCGACCACTGGCGGAACCTCCGTCGTCTCACCTCTATGGAGATATTTTCCACGGCGCGTCTCAACGCAGCTCTCAGCATCCGTAAGGATGAAATCCGGCGATTATTGGTCAAACTCCATTCCGAATCGTTTGCTAAAGTGGAGTTGAAATCGATGTTTTCAGAATTGAGTTTCAACGTTGTGATGAGGGTTGTGACCGGAAAACGGTACTTCGGCGAGGAGGTTTCCAATGAAACAGAGGCGAGGGAGTTCAGAGAGCTTATGGATGAAACATCGCGTCATGGAGGAGCGTCGAATTGGGTCGATTTCATGCCGATTTTGAAATGGATTGGGTTTGGTGAATATGAGAAGAGTTTAGCCAAATTAACGAAAAGGGCCGATAAATTTATGCAGAAATTGGTTGAAGATCGCCGGAATCAGACAGGATTGCAAATAGAAAAACAGAGTACTCTGCTTGATCGGCTTCTGGAACTTCAGGCATCTGAGCCGGAATATTACTCCGATGAGATCATCAAAGGGGTCATTCTGGTTTTGCTGCGTGCCGGAGCTGACTCGACCTCTGTGACCATGGAATGGGCAATGACTCAATTACTCAACAATCCGGAGGTGATATCCAAAGCCAAAGCCGAGATTGACACCAAGATCGGTCGAGATCGACTCATTGATGAAGCAGATCTCGCTAACCTCCACTACCTTCAAGCCATTATTTCTGAGACCTTCCGGTTGCACCCTGCAGCGCCAATGCTCCTCACACACTATTCCTCCAATGACTGCACCGTCGCAGGCTACGATGTTCCTCGTGGGACGATGTTGTTGGTCAATGCTTGGGCAATTCACAGAGACCCCAAGCTGTGGGATGACCCCATGAGCTTCCGACCTGAGAGATTCTTAGGGGAAGGGAATGAGTTGCTGTGGAACAAGTTAATTCCTTTTGGGATGGGAAGGAGGGCTTGTCCTGGGGAAACTATGGCGCTAAGGTTGATAGGATTGAGTTTGGGGCTATTGATTCAGTGTTATGAGTGGAAGAATGTTGGATATGAAAAGGTAGACATGACTGAAGGTGGAGGTATCACCATTCAAAAAGTTCAGCCTCTGGAAACCATGTGTAGAGCTCTCCCAATTATGGATAAAGTTCTATCAAATGGTTTGGACTAAATTTCACCAACGTTTGCTTCCACCCTTCCTCTTGATGTATGCTACGTATCACGGTCACGTATCACGGTCATACTAGTTCAGGACGTGTTTGCTCGTGACTGCATGCCCATGTTGTATTGTATTGTCTTATTTTCTGTTTGTATAGATCTCTTCGGCTTGAATCGCCCAAAATGACCACAAGAGTGTGACTGGTTGTCAACGCTTCCTCTGATTTTGTAGGATCGCTTAGCCAAATCAAGTCTAGGCTTGTCAGCGCCTCAAATGTATTAGAGGGAGATCCACGCTGTCAAATTCTCTCTACTTGAAAAGTTATATGTTATTTAAGCCGTTGTGTTTTCCTTTGATCTCTATACAACCATACAACTGAGGCTACCTTTTATTCTCGATCATCAAATCAAAGCTCAAAATCGAATTCGAAATACAGTTTCTAAATGCTCATATATATGTCCAGAGCTTACAGAATCGATAGCCATATCATTTCATTTATGCATTGTTAGAGCTAGCAACCTTCGCTTCGATTGGGCTTCTGGGATTTGAAGATCAAATCACGATCATCAAATGTTGGAAACCAATCATTAGTTGCAGGATTGCCTTTGTAGCCGCCATGAAGATGAACCCTCCCACCAGTTGCAGCATCAATAAGCCGAGTATGAACAACATTTCCTCCCCCTTCCTTACCCACTTGTATGAACCCACTCCCCGTCTGCTCCCTCCCAAATTTCATCACCAAAATCAGAGAGTTCTTTTTGTAATTTAAACTCAAAACAAACAAACAACCAAGGAAGATTAACCTTATGATGCCGCTTTTCAATCGAATCCAACTCCTTGTAATACTCCGTCTCCACATACTCCTCCTGCACCAACGAATCCCCAACTCCCAAGGCTAAGACCTGTAAACATTCCTCAAAATTTCATACCCAGATCACTATTCTCCCAAAATTTACAGAGGAAAAAAAATTAATGTAAAGAATCGATGAATACATGAGATTGGGTTTGGAGATTTCGGAGCTTATCGAGCTCGGGAATAGCCTCTTCTGCGGTGCTTCCAGATGGGTCTTGCGTCGAGGAATCGGATTCAGATTCGCTTCGGCTCGGTTTCATCGGCCGCTTGGGAGCGATGGAATCGAACTGGGCTCTGATCTGATCGGTGATTCGCATCTGCTCCTCGTTGTCCAACACCACGTCGCTCCGACTCGGCTTTCTCGCTGTGCACCGCCGTGCCGCCATGGTGGTTCTGGCCTCCTTTTGTTTGGTAGTTCCTTGATCTGTGGCTTTTGTCGTTGATTTGTAGGTTTTGGCGGTGGTTTAAATATTATATAGTCAGGATAAAGCTTATAGATATATATATTGAAGAAAAGGCCAAATTAAATTCTTGGATTTTTATTAATATTTATGAAGTTACTAATCATTATGTGACTTATAAAGTAATCAAAACCATTTTTGAGTGAAAATCAAATCAATGAAGATTAATTCTAAAGAACTCAATCGAAGATGAATCAAATTAATCAACCGATCTATAATAACTTTTTAATATTGAAAATCTCTTAGACCTTTGGTTATGAAGTAGGAGTAGTAACATCTTAGAGCCGATTTAGTCAAAGATGTGCAAAAACCCACTCATTGTGGCTAATGTTGCAAGTCCACAATGGTGAGAACCATGACAGTGCGCTTAGGTTCTTGATGGCTCGATAGTGATTGAACCATTTGTATAGTAGTGAGATTTCTTTTTTTGATTAGTAACTTGTGGAACAAGTTAAAGAAAACTATGAGTGTTTTCTCTTGGTGCATAGTCATGCGATGTACGTTCCATTCACAACCGAATTTTAAAAGTATACTACTTAAGAGTACTTTAGTATAAATAAATTCTCCCTTCAAATTAGTGTGTTTTTTTTATGCTTTAGTTATTCGTTTTGGTATATTTTGATCGAGGATCGAAATCAACATCTGGAACAAGAATTAGGATGCCGAAACAAATGCCCCAGACTATATGATCACGATAAAGAGTGAAAAGAAGGGGAACGTAATACTCCAATATCTGTTAGTAAGAGTAACTTTTCACCCTGGAATTTTTGTAATTTTTTCAAATTTTAGGAGTATTTTGATAATTTGTCATTTTAAAATTATTTTAGTTTCTGAAAAAGTAAAAAAAAAATAATAAAAAAAAGTTAACTCATTTCTATTTTGGAGTAATGTTATTCTAACACAGACCAATATTAAAAGATTTCAGACCTAATAAAGTTATTTTCGCAACTAGTCCCTTTATTCTTTTAATGTTCATATGTCTAAGTCTATTGTGTCATAGACTTGAACTAGAAGCACTTTCAGTAATAGTGTCATGTTTATATCGTGGTGTATAAGGTTCCAAATTTTGTGTCATATGCTATCAGTGTACCACCATTCACAATCTTCTACAAACTCTTTGCAATTTCCTAAGTTATCCAATTGACTAATAGAAATCTGATTCTTCTCGAGACTATGAATACATCTGACATCTTTCAATGATCATTGATTTCTTGTTGAAGTTTATAGGTAGGCATCCTTAATTCCTTCAATTTCTAAAGCTTTGTTGTTGACAAGATACACATTTACGAAAATTTCAATACAGTTCCTTATTTGAGATGAATGAAAAGACGCACCCAAATAAAAATCCTAAATTCAATCACGATGTCCAAATAAGGATTAGAACATCCTAGTATCTTCAATTTTTAGAATCATTTTCATCTCCGAATTTTTATTCTACTCCTTTGGTTTTGTACAACCTCTCCGATAGTGACAGTTTTCTCTGCAATTCGAACGTGCTACATTTGGTTAGTTTGGAGATTTGTTTTTCCAATTCTAATCATGTTTGTTTGAGTTCTGCGATTTACTTCTCACTTTTTGGTCAACATTGAGATTATTGCTCGATAAATTCCCAATTTCCCATTTGCGAATAATTTTGCTAAGAGCCCATCTTAGATTTTATCAAATTTCAATTTCTCAGACTCCTGAGAACTACTGATCGTGACAACAACAGTTTTTCAAGACTTAGGTAAAGATGACATCATTTCCTATTCGAAATTAATTTCTATAGAAATTAATTGACTCAACAATTATATTGAATTCATATGAATTCCAAGCAGATCCATGCATGTGTAGATTGAACAATCTATGCATCAAATATACTATGTTCATAACCGATGATTTTTTGTGTACATATTAAATAGCGCCTTTGACAGATTCGACATGGTCATAATTATGAAAATCTTTTTAGTACAGACAATCTTCAAGAAACCAAAATCAGATCCATCTCGATTCCAATTTTTGTTAAACTTTCATTATTTGTCTATGCAAATCCTACAAATTTTGATGAGGCAATTGAAGACGAAAAATGGAAGAAGGTAATGGATGAAGAAATTGACACAATACAAAGGAATGAAACGTGGGAGTTGATGGAGGTTCTAGCAAACAAACAAGGTCTTGGATAGCACAAAGATGAAGTCAAATGGTGAAATGGAAAAACTAGAAACAGGTAGTGTATGGAGTGGACTATGAGGACACATTTGTCCATATGACAAGGATCGAGACCATTCGGTTGATTTTGTCATTAGCTGCTTAAAATGCGTGGAATGTTTACCAAATACACATAAAATCTGTTTTTTTTTTCTAAATGGATGCTTGAAGGAAGAGTATTTGTTGAACAATCTTTGGGTTATGTGAAAAGAAGAAGAGGTGTAAACAAGTTTCCCAAGCTTGGTATAGTTCAGATCTTTCTCGTTAAAAGACTAAACTTAGTTCACAATTTGACAACTAAACTTATTCTACTAAGTCTATAACAATTCTTTCTTTAAGTCGTTTCATTTTGCTTCTTTTATTTGTTTCGACATATTTTGATCGGAATTATATCCAGCACCAACAACCAACACCTTTCCATATGGATTACTTCTTTGGGGGACGAAACTGAACTAAAGGATTTTACAGAGCCATTTTGTTACATATCTATTGGAGGGTCCTGACGATTTGAACTTGGAAGAGGAGAAACAGAATAAAAAATGATCATAGTAGCTGTGATAATTGGGTTCCTCAAAGTGACCCATTGGAGAAGATTAAGTCCATTGCAGTGAACTAACTAAAGCGGAAGAACAACTCAAGGGAGAGAGCTTTTGGATCAAAGAACTTTAAGCACTTATAATTTATTAAATTTTTTTGTTGTAAAAATAACACACATCTCAAGTATTTATAGTGGAGATTGCACAACCAATCTCCTAAGCTTCCTTCTCAGGTTCCTAAACTTTCTCTACAACTGAGGAATGGGTCCACTATCTCCACTTTGCTATCTTCTTCTGTCATTTGATGAAGGCTAATAATATTCTTTTTCAAACTCAGGATGTAGTACACCTTCATCAATAAATGTTTATCACCGTTCTTGCACTAGAACAAGATAGATCCTTTACCTTGGATCGGTATAATTGATCCGTCGTAAAGCTTCATGTTTCCAATGAACTTTTCATCAAGCTCCTTGAACTTTGCTCGATCTTCGGTCATGTGGTTGCTCACTCCGTTGTCTAGGTACCACATGTTAGTCTCCACTTGGTCTTCTCCGTCTGTGAAGGGATTCTCCATAACCTTCTCTTCATTGAGGATCAATAGGTTGGGCATTCCTCGGCCAACATCAATATGGGCTCTTCATCTTCAGAGAACATGAGGTTTGCCTCCTCATCGCGCTCCTTGTTGCGGCACTCTGCCGCATAATGCCCATATTTTCTACAAGAGTAACACTTGATCATACTCTTGTCCTTACGAGGGTTAGCATTTTCATGGGTTTGTGAGGTATCGTCACGACCTCCTCTGCCACCACGTCCACGGCTACGTCCACGACCTCTTTTTTCTTTGTTATGGTTACCACGTCCCCTCATACCTGAAAAGAAAGAGTCTTCTGCATCTTTATTTTTCGTCCATGCGAGCCACTCCTCATGTGTTAAGTAAGAGGTATTTCTCCTCCTCTTTGCCTTTGTAGCCACGAAATCTCTCCTTATGGACCTTAAGATGACCAACGACCTCCTCAACCGACATGTTCTTAAGGTCGCCGAACTACTGAATGGAGGTAACAATCTGCATGAATCTTGGTGGAACAGCTCGAAAGAACTTCTTGACGACGGAGATCTCCTCCACCACCTCGCCTAATGAACGAATGCCACTGACAATCGTTGTCAACTTCATGGCAAAGTCGTCTATTGACTCTGTTGTATTTCGATAATCGGCCAGGGAAATCACCGAGAGGATATTGTCGACAGGACGTTGTTGGAGGAAAGATAAAATGCGTAAAATAAGAGAGAGAGAAGGACTGAAAGTTTGACTGCTCTTCAAAATCCGGTTGTGAAATCTTGTAAACAGATTTCCTATTTAAATACAACCTATCCTAAAAATGGGTGGAGAGTGGCCAACTGAATCAGTGCCACTTCCTAGAAAATTGACGTCTAAGAATTCGCTAATCCATTCGACGTGTTTGTCAAATGGTCAAAGGGAAATTAAATTGTAAACGTGTGAATCTAAATAAAGAAAAAACTGTCAAATGGTCAAAGGGAAATTAAATTGTAAACGTGTGAATCTAAATAAAGAAAAAACAAAGGTTTTATCTAACAATCTCCTCCTAAAACCTGTGTTATATCTGCCTTATTTCGTTTCGTCTGAACTCCATTTTGAGCCCAAAGGTTTTATCTAACAATCTCCTCCTAAAACCTGTGTTATATCTGCCTTATTTCGTTTCGTCTGAACTCCATTTTGAGCCCCATAGTAGCTATCGTCACGGAGCTTTAGGCGTGCAAGCCATTCCTCCTCAGTGAGGAGTAGACGACCCTCCTTGTCGACAGCTGAAATGGTATTTTTCTTCCGCTGCTCGACGTTACGCAGTCTTCCGGTCACCTCTTCCACCGTTAGGTCATTCACGTCAAGCAAAGTCTTGATTGAAATTGCAACTTGCTCGAGGTGATCGGGGACGACCTGCAGCATCTTCTTCACGATTTCTGTCTCGTTGATGCTGCCACCGAGTGTGGTGGACCCCACGATGTGCTTATTTTCGCCCTTTGCATTTTCTTCTACTCGAACCTGAGACCTGTGTGTTGTTAGGTCGACACTCTGACCACTTGAGCTATTCAACTTGATTGTTGATAGGTTGGCTCTTCTGTGATGGTATACTACCGATCGCTTCAACGAGGCTCTGATACCACTTGTTGTATTTCGATAATCGGCCAGGGAAATCACCGAGAGGATACAGGAGGTTGTTGGAGGAAAGATAAAATGCGTAAAATAAGAGAGAGAGA